GAATGGTTATCCATAAATATAACAATACTTCTCCATTAAGGATTTTTACAGGGTAATTGAAAAGGTAAAATGCATTATGTACAGACCACATAAATTGAAATTATATATATATATATATAAATATATAAATATATATAAATATATATATGGCTATTGATACCCTCATACTAGGAAGAACTTTCAATAAGATCCATTACTGCTGTATTTAACTGGCCATTTTGGAGGGGGACAAATTTGCTAACTTTGTAACTATGCAAACTTGACAGGCTTTGTATATAAGTACTAGGTCGAAGTAGCAGTAATTTGCAAATGGGAACTGTATCTGTCCATGCCACTTTAACTTGCCTGTAACTTTTTTGAAAAGTTTTCCAACAGGCTGCTGATTAATGTGATGTGCATTTAATTACTGAATGCCTATTTCTAATCCTTGCAATAACTTATATTAATTAAGGTACTGTTGACAAGGAAGGTGAATTACAGTCAGAGTGTGATGGTTTGACTGAGGCTGTGGGAATTAGAGAAAATCAGGATTTTGTCCTGCTCTGTGAATAATTTGGTCTTGGTCTTGGTCTTGGTTGGCCATTGGCTTATTCCCTAAAATAAAATTGCCAGCTGTGAGCAGCAATGACAGACTGATCACAGCAGAGGAGATAGTTCCGAAGGTTGCTGAGCAGGAAGGTGGCTCCTTCATTCTCCTTTGCCTGGAGCTGTCATCTCCTTCTTGCTGGAGTGGTTACCACCACAAAGGGTCTTGCAAACAGACCTGAAGGACTCCTTTTGTTCCTCCTAAGCACCAGTCTTTCCTGGGCACAATCCAGAGGGGAATACAGCTTCAAGATGAATTCAGAGCAGCATGTGATTCTCATGATCACTGTAATTTTCTGATACACTAGCTGCTGACACAGTTCATTTTGGGGAAGCTGAGGCTCAGTCACAAGTGGGAGACAATATGTGAAAGAGCAATCTCCTTGGTGTTTTTTGCCAGGCTCTGTCAATCTGCAAGTAACTAAATACCACTCGCTTCAACAACCATGATTTATGTAGGTATTGGATAAAATGAAGGTGGATCAGTTCTTATGTTGCTCTGCTATTGTTCCCAGTTCTTCTTCAAATTCCTTGGCCAAGACACAATGAGTCAATGGTAAGTGCCACTGCGTGACCTCCAGCTGCCAGCCTGCAGATTGATCTACATCATGTATACATTAACCCAGCCAGATCCTTCAGTCTGATGATGATGATGATTCCCCTCAGTTAAGGATCTGGTTCATCTCTTTTTGAACTATTTCTTGCTTCCCACATTTTCAATTCATTTTGGTTGTAGTTTTCCCTGAGGTCACCAGCTCTGTGTTGGCTTCCCACTATTCTCATTAACACTGCATTTGCCCAGGCTAAGAAATTCAGCCCTCACACGTATTCAGTTCAAGTACTCCAGTCTCCTAGACTATTTTGAGTTTTAAAGTGTTCTGGTTCTCCTTGGGGAGCTCATTATACATGTACATATACATCCATCACAAAGTTATGGCTGACTCACTGAACTATTACATCACTCCCTTTCCCCCAAAGGAGTCGTCCAAAGGGAGACCTTTGAAGGTGCAGATGTCTTTTAAGATTCTGGGTCTCAACAGTGTTCCGTGAATTGAAAATCTGCCTCTTGTATCTACAGAAACAACCTGAAAGATGCCTGCTTGTGTTGTACCGCTTTGTGCTGAGCCAATGGCATTGCACTGACATTTAGTGCTGTGCCCTTTTAACACAATATTATAACCATGAGTTCTGTGGCATTGGCAGGAGAACCTCTGTAGCTGAAAACCCGGTGAGTTTCCTGACTGTGGAGATAAACTCTTTGTATAACAAGTAGTTCAGATGTGGTAACACTCTGGTGGCAGATCTTGTTTGTTCAATCTGACTTCAATTCAATTGATTTAGCAATTTCCCAATGCTGTGGTACCTTTGCTTTGCAGAAATTTAAGAAAATTTCTGACATGGTTGTGAGATGGAGATTTTTCAATCTCATTTAACAGGTGAGGAACTGAAGCAGTGGAAGACTTGTTCAAGCATTTTTGACATCTACTGCCAAGGTATAACTGAATTTAATTTTCCTGGTCCAGTGCCTGACTTAAGACAAGTTTCCCTTCTATGTGTTTGTCTGCTTGACTAGAAAAGCCAGTATTTTGTTGTTGATATCTTATTAACTGAAGATAGATCTATTGCAATGTGATAAGATTTTTTTATTTTTAATTTTTTTTCAATGCTTTATGTCAATGCTTTATGCATAAATGTGCTGTGTCCAATACAACAGGCAGACACAGACAAGTATATGTGGGACAAGTTATGGAGCACTCCACCCTTTCCTTCGTGTCCACACAATACTTGTCATGCTCTAACACACAAAGTCTGTCTATTCGTCTCAAGGAATTATTTTCATTTCAAATGGAAAAACTGTGGACTGTATCCTTAAAAAAGAGTACCTATCTGGATAACCAACTTGGAAGATCATAATCAAAACCAACAGTGAAGATTCATAAAGAACTCAATAAACCTATTTCCATTAGCTAATCACTAAAACTATTTGTAAATATTTGGCAATTTTTTTTTGTTTTACAAACCACTTCCTTAGTGATTTGCAGCAGGAAGCAAGACAACTATGTAATTTTTCTTAGCCTAGTTAGCAGGAAGCGGAACTTCTGCTTCTGTCAAAGAGAGTTTCAAGAAACCATGTCAGAAGTTAAAAATAAGATAATTGTCACTGAGAAAACTCACCTCTTCTGATTTGTTCTTCAGAATGCCTCTGAAATGATGGGAAATGATCTGTTGGTCTACGTGGTGGTCATCAATAATTTTGTCAGATTATGTAATGGCGTGGGAACCAAGAATATTTTTGTAGTTGAACCACTGTCAAGTTTATACATACGGACTGTGCCCAGTTCCTTAAACCAACCTTTAGTGTTTTGGACATATACTTCAATATTACTGGAAAGTAAACAAAAATAACACAATATGTGTTTTCAATACATCCAATATGCACCTGGTCAGATGAGCTGCAATTTCACAAACACAAACCCATGTGTAACAATTACAAAGAGTAAACTGCACACCTACCTTGAGGGAGAGACTGGCCCATGGCCATGCACTCTTTGCCTGGGTTTATTTTATCCAGAGACAGCAGCAAAAAAGTACATTGTGTACTTCAGCTGAAAAATTATGATGGATTTCAGATATTCTTTTAACAGCTGAAGAAAAGAGGCAGTTGAATGCCTGGGTTCAGGGAAACAACCAAGGCCTCCAGCAACTACCATCTCTATTCCTAATCTCATGTTTTAACTAGGAGAGCACTCTATTTTTCATAGTACAAACTCAACAGTTTAAGTTGAGTAAGATATTGACTGGTGTCCAGTTTTTACCATAAAAACATGATTTCAGATTAGGTCAGAAACTTGACTGATGTCAAGGTCCCTGCCAAGGAACTGAACAGGCAGCCACTGAGTTGTGAAGCCTGCTCAGGTGTACATCCTGAAGTAGGTTTTGTTCCAGTCTCTGAGCACTTTGCCGGTCATTGAGTGTTTCCTACATGGGGAACACAGGCCACTGACTAAATAATTTGACTATTTTTAGCATATAGGCCAGACCTTATAATATGAAATGGCTACAAGGAGCACATAATAAGAAATGCCACACTGAATCAGACTGCTGTTAATCTCTGTTTGATTTAGGTGGAGCAAGAGGTGATATGTTTTGGGAGTGTATGTGAGTATATAGACCACTTTCTGCAGTCTACCTTGCATGTCTGCAATCCTGGTTGTATCAGGGCTACTAAAGGGTTTCTTGCTTCCTATCCCATTAGTTTCTGTTTCTGGAACTAGTGGTCATGAATTTGTCTAACCCCTCTTTGAACCTGCTGATAATAATTGTTTCCAGAGGCAGCAAGTCCCAGAGTTTCAGTATCTGCTCTGTAAACTAGTTTCTTTGATCTATTTAAATATCTTATTAGATTTGTCAGGGGATTTCCAGTTTGCTGGATTTGGTTAATAATTCTTGGGTTCACTGTATCTGAAAACTTCAAGATTTCTTTTTAGACTTCAGTTATATCCTCCTTCCTCATCCTTTTCTTTAAACTGAAGTCCCAGGTTTTTCAGTGCCTCCTTGACCTTTGTACTTGCCCTTCTCTAAGTCCCTTTCAGACATGGAAAGAAGGAGACAGTACTGAGGATATGGTAACACAAAAGATTTTCATAGCAGCAATCCCCCCTGTTTTCAGGACTCTTCCAGATGTTACCCAAACATTGTTAGCACTATGAGTGTCTATGTGCATAGAGTCAAAGATTTTAGAGAACTCACAATGATGACTGCAAGGTATCCTTTCTGAGTGGCATTTTCTGAGTTCAGCAATCATGTCTGAGATCAGTTTGCAGAAACAGATTACCTTTTGTTTATTTATGTATCTCTAGCATTAAATGTTGCTGCAAAAAATGCACCGTAGCCTTATCATTCCTGTGTGTAATCGTACCTGGCAAACTGGTGCAGATCTTGAGATGGAATGGTGATATTTTAGACCACTGCAGCTGGTGCAATTTTGAGTTACAGAGGAACTTCTTGGATCAGTAGGACCAATTCTCTGGTTGCAGGATCCTCTAACAGCATGAAATCTCTGCCGTGGGAACTTTTCTTTAGAACTGATTTTTTTCCCTTATCTATATGAAAAGGCTGCTGCAGAGTCTTATTATGATTACGATAAAAAAATTCATCCTATCTTTCATTGTGGTTTAATTTGTCACAAATTTGTGCAGGATTCTCCTCAGGTTGTCCTTTTTCTGAGACTTGTAGACTGTTTATTTACTCTGGTATTTATCCTCCAGTTGAATTTGTAGAGGTATACTAACTGTCGTCTTAGCTTTCATGTTAATATCCTGGATGTGCCAAGTTCTTCTAGTCTCCTGTTGTAAGACATCTTTACAAGATAACTTGGCATGCTAGCCACCTTTGCAATATTGTCTTGGGTTACACAAAGACTCTGATATCCACCTTTTCTCTTTTCTCCAAATATGCCTACTAATTTAGACTGTGGGGAGGGACTTAAGATAAGGGTGGTACTCTCCTAGTAGAAGAATGTCTCCACCACTGTGAAGAGACTGGCAGGCTGATGACTTGGAGGGTGTGCACACCTCCCACCTCAGGCTACCAGCTGGGTGTTGTTTCTTTGTCCTTACACAAAAGACTCATCTGTGATAATTCCCCTTGGGGAAGCATCAGGACAGTTCACTCACATGGCCTGAAGATATTCATCTCTGCTGATGGGCCATAATGGATCCACCTGTGCTTAGAAGGTGTCAAAGACTCTTGAAATGTCCTGTGATCCAGTGTTAATCATCCAGTGAAGAACTCTCCGCCCCAGGGGAGGTACCAGAAGCATTTCCGCCTATCCAGAGCCCAATAAAAGACCACACTCTGACTTCACTGGGGAGGTTGAGGGTCCTCTCTGACTCCACAGGACTTCTACTAGCCAGGCCTCTACCACCACCTCAGAGGGTCAGGGCTACAACCACCATCGATGTTACAGAGATCAGGTCTCATCTCTGGATCCTGCCAGAGCCACCCAGCGGCCACTCCAGTGCCGTGAGCTGCCGGCGCTCAGAGCAGAGCCCTGAGTCAGACACAGCTCAGCATCGGAGCCAAATTCAAGCACGACCCGCAGTCTTCAGTCTTTTCAGGAGAGAGAGTGGGGAGGCAGACCATTTTCTCCCTGTACCCCTGCAGTTGCTGTGTTTTGCTGCTTTGTTTTGTTCTCCATTTTTAGTAAAAACTGTTATTAATTTCTACACTTTACTTGAACATCTCATAATTTCAAATGCTCATAATTTGGAGGGAGAGGTTTCCTTTCCATTGGAGGTCCTGCCTCCTGGCACATATTGTCTATAAACCAAGACACTGCCCCATCCCTGGAAGAGTTCAAGGCCAGGCTGAGTGGGGCTTGGAGCAACCTGGCCTAGTGGAAGGTGTCCCTGCCCCTGGCAGGGGTGTTGGAAGTTTATGATTTTTAAGGTCCCTTCCAGTCCAAACCACTCTATGATTTTATGATGGTTTTAGGTAGACATGCTGTTGATTACAGAGTAGTGCAGACCAAATTGAGTGATTTCAAGCCAGCTTGGTTATAGATGGGTTGTAGTAGGTGAGAGAAGTGAGGTCACATGGAAGGATTTTTTTGTCAAAAGCTCCACAGTAACCTAGCTGCTTTCATCCCAATATGACTTTAAAGTCAGTTCATGTATTTTTCTCTCACTAGACTGTAGATATAATTTCTTGATATTGGCTTTTCCCATATACATGATCTGGCATGTACTGTAATACCACTGTCTCTCACAGAACTCTAAGAAAGTGAAAGTGTTTTAAATGTCAAATTTAGTCTGAATTAGATCAAATTTATCTTAAACAAGAATACTTAAGACTTTTCCTCTTAGCTTTTTCAGATTCTACTTCACTTCTTAGTAGACTTGCAGTGAAACAATTCAAGAAAACTTTTAAATGTTATTAGATTTTGGTTTTTTACAGTACTATTACATTCAGTTGTGCTAAGAATATAGTAATATAATGTTCAAATGATTGAACATTTTGTCTCAGAGCTATTTATGATTTTTCTTTTCTGGTGTCATTATTTGCCCATGATCTACATATATACTTCTCTGGAACAGTTTTTTTGTGCTGTTTAAAGCATTTATATATTGTTTTGAGATCTAAATATATCAAAACCACAAATTAATCAAGTGAGCTACTTAGCTACAATGTGAATATCCTATGCAAATAAAATGTCAAAGTAATTGACACTGTTTTGCCAGCTTCATATTTGGATATCAATGACAGCTATTTCAAGAATATAATTAAATTTTCACTCAGTTTTCCATGGTTACTGAAGCTTAAAGCTAAAATGTTATATAGGAAAACAGTTAAGGTTATTTAAAATTAACCACAAGTAATAAATTTGTTTGGCAAAAGAACAAGACAATTGATTTTTTTTTTGTTAAACTGAGGCTCAGTTTTAGAAGAGAATTATAAGAATTTTGACTTTCTACCAGCAATCGCTTGAATTCTCTGACTTTTACATGAATTTAGGTAGAAGAATTTAAAGAAGTCAAAAATTTTATTTACATAAACTGAATTTCAAAATAGCTGACCTTTATTTTCAGCTGTACAAACCACATTCCTCACTTAGTCTCATGTTTCTTAAAATAATTTGGGCTCTTGCCTTTTAGATTTTCATAACTGTAATCCAGCAACTGCATTGTTTTTGCAAGAAAACTGTGCAGTTAATGCCCTACACAGTGACAGTCAAACTGATGCAAAGTTTAATTACTGTGACTCTTTGATGGAGTTTTGAGGTGACTTGTTCAAATGAACTTCTAGCAACATAGCCTCAGGAATGAAGCAAGCATCCAGGCTGTCAGTGGGGGTGAAATCTGATTAATTGCTTCTTGGGTTCCCTCCAGGATCACAGGCAGTATCAGCGCAATTTGTAAGGGCTGCAAATTCCAGAAGGAGCAACACATCATGTGCAACATGTATGCTTTGTATTTAAAGAAACTCGGAATGCCTGAGCATTTTCTGTAAATGAAATCAGTGGGATTTAGTTTCTAAAGAAAAAATTCCTTTTAATGCTTTGCTTTGTTATTTGTCTTCTGTTAAAATGAATGAGCTTATTGCATGTGAAATAACAGTAAATTTGATAAATGTGTCAAACTACAGTAGCAGCATGCAAAAAACCCCAAAACTGCACTCTGGGGCCTGTGTTTGCCTGCTTGTGAGGTGATTGAGGGCATTTGTTGTCACGTACATCAGATATGGACCCACACTTCTGCAAATGTGAGGTCAGTTCCTGTGCTATCACAGGCACACTCCGTGCGTGGCCACCCTCTGTCCTGCTAGGTTTCAGAATACCCATGTGGGACTACAAGGGTCTGTAATTGCCTTGGAAGGTTTGACAAGCTCCTCCAGATAAGTAGTGAAACACATACAGCAATAGGATTTCTACTTTCTTTGCCTCTACACTTCTGGTTGAAGTAAATGTATTTGGAGTGGGACAGGAGGAAAGAGCTGGTAGGAAGGTATAAGGAATAAGCTGGCTAGAGGAAGTTGTTTGGGACTCTGGGGACCTGAGGAGAGCTATTCTTCTCTAAAATTTGCTCAGGAATGGGGTTTTATGCTGCAAGGTCTTGGATTGCTGGCAAAGAACAGCAGAGTGAGCAAACATCATGAGAGGTTGACTATAAACAGCCACGACAGAGGTAGACTGTTGTTTCAATACTACATCCATACTGTTTTGATCAGATTTTGTAGTCACAGCAACAGACAATGCTTTCAGATGTTGCTAAGGTGGTAAATACAAATATTTTGTGGTTGTGTCTAGAAGGGTGTTTTTCCACAGAACATCAGGATCTCACACTAGACAACTCACATGTTTACCTAAGTTTCCTTGATTTATCATCCAAAAAGAGATCCAAAAGAGATCATGGAAAAGAAAATTGTAGCTAAGCATCAATCAATGATGAAAATTACCACGTATCGGTATGATTAAGCATAATAGTAAGTGAAAGAATACAAATCAAAAGAAACTTCTTATCTAGTCTCACAAGTATTTATGTAAATGGCTTCTTTTTGTGCTTCTCTTCAATGAAATCATAGCCCTGTAACAGTGAGGACCCAGCAGCAAAATGAAAGCAACAACACAGCTGCTTGAGAAGCGGGGGCTGTTCTTATGTTCCAGAAAAATTTGCTGACCGCACAAATGATCTAAACCAATTTCATGGGAGGTATTTGCTATGGCAGTGTATTAAAGTATTAATTAAAATTGAATGAAAGTGAAGAAATGCTTCTGAATGTCTAGTCTGAACCTCCCCTGGCACAGCTTTGAATTGTTGCTGTGTGTCCTATCATTGGATCCCAGTCAGAAGAGCTCAGAATCTCCCTTTTCACTCTCCCACCTCTGGAGCCTTTAGATACATGCTTTTCTAATGGACATAGAGCCTGCTGTAGCATGGCTGCTTGACTCTGCAACTCTTTGTGTACACTCTTTAAACTTGTTTAAAACTCATTGCCAGTGAAAACTGGTATAGTGAAAATCATACTGTGGGTGACATTCTCTCTACTTCCAGTTGCACCTCACATCAGTACAAATTAATGGCCAAATGTCCACATTTCCAACAAAGAACCAGTAGGTTTTATCATCTTCTTTTATCTGCCCAATTCAGCTACAACATGACTTCCCAAAAAAATTATTTCCTGCTGGCACTTCTCTATGTTCCTCTGTTCTCCATCTCTCCTCCAAGCTGGCTACACTTAAGAATATTTGTTCCAACCCCAAAGTAAAGGCAGTAATTTTTTGAGTGCTAACAAATCAGCCCTCATATTTCTCTTACTAACAGGCTTCCTATTATCCAATTGTCCTAGGGGTGTTTCATTTCAATATCAGAAAATATTTACCTGATGTAGGTAATTACTTTTCCTGCATGTAAAAGCAAGAATTAAATTTAAACACAGGCTGTGTATCCATTTTCTGTAAGCTTTTTTTTAATCAGCAGTTAATGAAACGACCTGTCATCAGACAGCTGTACTGCTGAAATTACATGGAAAGCAAATCCACAGAGTAAGTTTGTTTGTAGACTTTCCCCTAAGTTTGGAGCTAGTGATGATTTGTTGTTTTTTCTGCAGTTTAACCTTGTTTGGTCTAGCTGGAATTGAGGCAGTAATGATGTCAGTATTTGCCAAGAGCTATACTTTTACAGGAAACAGTAACAGACATCATTCAAGGTTTTGACAAGATTTCACACAGCATAGCAGAGCAATCCAGCACAAATACATCATAATAAAAGCCTTCCATGCCCATTTTGGGTGATGTGCTCATAAGCTTACACATGTGGCCCATGTGTAGCTGAATGAAACTATTCAACCGCTGCTTTGCCTGAAATGCTTGAATGCTGTGACAAATGTCTATTAAAATGGTTTGCTGTTAATGTGGATTTAGAGACATTAAAATATCAACACTGTGTGATACAGCATAGCCCAAGGTCACAAGGAATCAGAAAGCACCTGTTCAAGTATCATTGTTTTCACAGGGTTTTTGTCCCCAAAACATGTTAGGGGTGGGGTTCTTCCAATGTGTGGTGGAGAAAAAGGGGAAGGAGGTAGAAGAGTTCCTCAAAATGGAAAGGAGTTATCTGGTCCTGTTTTACTTGCAAAAATTTCAAATGTATGCTCCCCTCTACTGGTTTTGGTGGAAAAGGGTGTGGTTGTGGGCCACTAGGAGTTCAAGGCCTTTGTGGTTCCCATGGTTACTTTCAGAGCTGCATAGCAGGCTAATGGGAATCCTTTTCACCTGGTACAACAGTGACCACTAGCCTGTGTATTAAAACCTCCTCACATCACTTCCTTGTTCTCCTTGGCTCCACACTTTACATTGTTTGGCATTTTTGTTGTTGTTGTTGTTTTTGTGGAAATGTGTTTGGGGTGTCTTTATTATTTTTTTTCTGGTGTGGCAGCTGAACTTGAATTATTGAGATCAATAGCCCATGAGCAGTCTTCCCTTTTCAGATTGCTGGGTGATATCCTGTAATTTCTGGTCAGGAGTAGACAGCATTAGATGGTCACAAGCATAAAATCTATCATAGAATGGCCTAGGTTGGAAAGGACCTTAAATATCATCTAGTTCCAACCTCTCTGCCATGGGCAGGGACACCTTCCACTAGATCAGGTTACTCAGAGCTCCATCCAACCTGATTTGAAACACTTTCAGGGATGGAGCATTCACAGCTTCTCTGAGTAATGTGTTCCATTGTCTCACCATTCTCACAGGGAAGAATTTTTTCCTAATATCTAATCTAAACCTACTCTCTTTCAGTTTGAAGCCATTCCCTCTTGTCCTGTCACTACAGGCCCTTGTAAATAGTCCCTCTCTATCTTTCTTGCAGGCTTCCTTTCAGGTACTGCAAGGCCACAATTAGGTCACTCTGAAGCCTTCTCTTCTCCAGGCTGAAAAATCATAATTCTTTCAGCCTTCCGTCATAGCAGAGGTGCTCCATCCCTCTAATCATCTTGGTGTTCCTCCTCTGGACTCGCTCCAACAGCTCCATGTCCTTCCTGTGCTGGGACCCCAGAGCTGGAGGCAGCACTGCAGGTGGGGTCTCAGCAGAGCAGAGCAGAGGGGCAGAATCCCCTCCCTCCCCTGCTGCCCACACTGCTTTGGATGCAGCCCAGGACACGGGGGGTTTCTGGGCTCCCAGTGCACATGGCTGGGTCATGTCCACATGACAAAAAGTACACCCAAGTCCTTCATGTTGTCACAACTTCATGGTGGAAGCTTTTTTGGCTGCAAGCTTGAGACACTAAGAGAAGTGATAATGTCTACCATATGGTTGCATAAGGCAGCATTTACATCTACTGCTACCAGTTCCAAGGGCTCCTCTAGTTCACACATTTTCTCATATTCTTTCTTTTACTTGCTATAAAAAGGGGATATCCAAATCATTGCTTCAAATCAAACACTTTTTAAAATTTTATATAGTGAAGAACAGCGATCCACCGCACCTGCATTAAAACTGAGTTGCTGCAGCTTTGTAAAGATGACCTTGCAACCAGAACATTTTGCTGACAGTGATTTTTTAGGCAACCAAATTTGCTAAGTGTACAAAATGTAGGCCAATCACTCTTCAAAAGTTTTGACCTACTTTCCCCTTGAACACATTCCAAAATAATAATAATAAAAAATAACTACGGAGAGAGCAGATTACACAGCTCTATAATTTCACTAATGGGAATGTGAATGCCATTAAAAGTGTTTCCTGCTGGCAGACCAAGTATGTATTTGTGTGGTTGTAACTCCTCAATACTCATTCAGATTTTGGGAGAGAGACAAGGCCAGGGCAGGACACTTATGCTGACTTAAACACCATCTTTTCATTTTAGTGGGCCCTTTTATTGAGTTTCTCTTAATTTGTCTGTATAAAAATGCATGTTATGGAATCTAGACTTTTTTTTTTTAAGAAGAGTCCATTTTTCATTTTCACATGGTTTAAGCTAAATTTGAAAAGCCTTTTTCTTATAATAGTGTGCAATTTTAACTGGTTAGTGAGTCATTGCCGATTAACTTATATATTTTCATACAGATGTTTTCCTGGATATTCTGATTTTTGATGCTTTAAAGAAAAAGTACTGACATAATTCTTCTGGCCTTCTCCTTTTGTTCTGTCTTTTCCAATTTAAAGTATTTCCTTATCTTTGGTGGGGGCAAGGGTGGGAAAGGGGGGACATAATGTGTACTTGTCCTCAAAGGTATGTTTAAAAAGCAGATTTATAGCCTTCTGTTTTTCAAGCCCTACATAAACCCATGTGAGTTAGAGACAGGCTGATTGTGACAGTTCTGAAAATATTTAAGGACCCCGCTTTACTGGTAAAGGTATTAATGATGTTTAAAAAGGGGCGAGGGAGTTGACAGGAAGAATTAATCCCTCCTACTCCAAAAAAACCCTCCAGAACTGCTGCATTTCCTTCCTTTTGGCATCATACAAATTGTACTGTTTCAGTGTTCCACCCTTTGTTTAACGTCCCCCAGCTCTTCAGGAGTTATTCTGTAATTTCCAGTAGGAAGATGATTTGCATAAACCACTTCCTTTTCATGATTAGATTCAGGAAATCAGAATTATAACCTGATGCTGTTATGCTTTTGTCCTAGAAGTTGTTAAAATGAGTCATCTGGCAATGTCTAATCCCATTTCTAACCATATACGGACATGTGTGGGACTAAAAAGGAAGACAGGTTTGTGTATTTGACAAAATCAGAATCCTTCTAGGACTTAATTTTGCAAAGCACTGAGACACTGAAAAGTAATAGCACGCTGTTAAACACTTTGTCTCAGTAGGCTCTATGTGAGCTAGGAATTGTCCTATTAGCTTGACATATGAACAGGAGTTCAAAAGGGTTTAAAAATAAATTATGGAAGAAAGATATATATAAAGCCATAGCATGGTAGTTCTCACCCAAACCAGTTTTCCATAGATGGTACTTCCCTCCAGTCAACAAGTAGCTCTGCTGACCTTAGCCCAAAAGAATTCTCTATTCAGTACAAATAGTCAGTTTTGCCTTTTTGTATCATAAATCCTGGTTATTAATTAAAGAAATGCCTCCTGTCAACTTCAGAGGGCAGTCTGTTCAAAGCAAGCACACACACTGCTGGACTTTTTTCCAGTTGTCTTGAATCATAGTATTGTAGAATGGTTTGGGTTGGAAGGCACCTAAAAGCTCAGTTTTGTTCCAACCCCCCTGTTATAGATAGAGACACCTTCCAATAGATCAGATTGCTCCGAGCTCCATCCAACCTGGCCTTGAACACTTCCAGGGACGGGGCATCCACAGCTTCTCTGGGCAACCTGTGTCAGTGCCTCATGACCCTCACAGTAAAGAATTTCTTGCTACCATCTAATCTAAACCTACTCTCTTTCAGTTTTTAAGCCATTCCCCCTCATCCTATCACTACATGCCCTCGTAAAAAGTCCCTCTCATCTTTCTTGTTTGCTCATGGTATTTGAAAAGTCACAGCAGTCAGGTGAAATCCCACATGACTGGAGAAAGGAATACATTGTACCCATCTTTTAAAAGGTAGAAAGGAGGACCCTGGGAACTACTGGACATGTCAGCCTCACCTCTGTGCCCAGGAAGATCATCCTTGTAACAGAAGTCTCAGTTTAGCACATTAGTGATAAGCATCTGCCATAGAAAAACTGTGATTTTTGGCCAAGTAATATAGATTGGAAGAGCTCTATCAAGGCCATATAAATCAAAGTTCCTCCCCCCCCTCTTCAGAGGTTGGCTTTGTCTTAAAGAAATGAATGGTAATAAAAAGTTTAAGTGACACTAAAGCTGCAAGAAGTGAGGGGCCCTTCCTGGGTCTCCCTCATCCCTTCCCTTGGATTGTCTCTCCATGCAGCCATGCCCTGTCACCAGCAGGTGAAGCCAGTTACATCAGTGAAGCAGCAGGGCTGGCACCTGCTCCTGGGTAGCTGGGAAGCCAAGGTTGGTTAAATTATCTGCACCTCTAGCCAAAAATAAGGAAATAATTAAATTCCAAGTGAAAACAAACTCGCTGTGTCATCCTTGTTTCTTGTACAGCTTTAGCTTCATGATGTTACTGGCGTACAGTGAAACAGCTCTTCTCAATTTGTGTTTTATTCCTATGGCAATGAGTCCAGACAACTTCAGAAAAAACAGTGTCAAGGCAAAACTAAACTAAATTTTGGCACAAAAAAATCACAGCAGTGGGGTAGCCATGGGTGGGCTGTTATTTTTCATTGTTCCAAGAGGTTTAAAGTTTGTAGTAGAAAACTTGTTATAGTAAGCACCCGATGCACCACAGTGTTAAATCTCAGATAAGTTTCCGAGTTGCTATGAACCAAATCCAAAGCCAAACTATGGATGTCTGGCTGACCCTTTAGTTCTAAGGACCCACAACTTGCTCTGTGGAATCACTTTTCAAATATATGGATATTCTCTGGGGAAGGGAATGCTGGTGCTCTGTAGGTGGGTATCAGCTATCTGCTGTTAATTTCTTAAACCCTGGTATAACATTCAGGAGTTGGATGAACTATTCATCCCCATAGTCAGCACTGAAATTCACATCCTGCTTTCTGTATTCTATTCATCTCCAAACACCATGGAGCAGGATGTGGGCAACAAGTGCAACGAAAGGGATGCTCTGGGTTTGGCTTAGATTTCAACACTTAAAGTCACAAAAAAATTGATTTGATCACCTTTGTCTCCATCCTTGGCAACTAGTTTGGCATTTTTAAATCTCCACTCTGGCAAACTTAGTTAGAGTGCTATCTGAAAGTGGAACAATGACCCACGTTTGGGGAGGAGATGGCAAGTAGTATGCTGATGAGGACTAGTTTTTTAAAAAAAACCCCTTCTTATTGTGTTTATAAAAATACTCAAGTTCTTAGAAGTGAACACACATTTTGTATTTTACCCTTAGAAGCTCAGACTTTCCATTCATTTGTCTCTTAGTAACACCAGAAGTGTTTAGTCCATGTAAATAAAAGGTGATCAGTGGTGAATCTTTCAAGTGCTGGCCTGGCATCTTCTCTACAACATTTTTCACACTGTAATGGGGTTTGCTGTTCATATGCATTGAAGGGTACGAGCTAGTATTTAAACAAAGCAAAAATAAACCCAGAAAACTTCCCTTCCATGAATTACATAGGAGGAGCTAATAATGTCTCTTCCATTTAGATGCCCTATACCTTTAAGAAACAGGCTTAATAATTTTCAGCTACTGAGGCAGAATTCCAGTATTGTCTTTATTATTTTAATGAAAGAATTCTCATGAGAAAAAAAGAACTTTACCTGTGAGATACAATTCCCATTTCTCGTATTCTACCTTCTAAATGTCACTCTTCTTTTGTAATGAATTGGGTAGGAAACTCTGCCCTTTCCTTTGAGTGACTAATGATGTAATGTACTTACAGATTAGAAACACAATCTGAGTGATGTACTTATGGCATTAAGTGAGGTTTTGCCTATTCTGTCACGTTTATTCTACTGGAAACCTAACACTTGTGCTAATATTAGTGTGTTTAGATCATCAATGCGGAAAATCTTGTTGAAATTCATCTATGGGTATACTTTTCTGTCATGTTAGCAGTGTGCTTTTTTGAATTCATTGGCCTGTAAGTGTCATTGGTTAAATCTGAACATGAGAAGCACCTTATTAGGGCATCATTTGTATCTTTCAAAGATGTCCAAATACAAGTGCACATTTATTTTAATACAAAAAAAAAAAGCTCTTCCCTGGGTGATCTGGAATTCAATATTCATAATATTTGCAGAATTGAACAAGATTCTTAATAAGCTTGGTAAATAAAGGAACTCTACCCTTGGACAAAAGTATGAACATCCCGTTTGTTTCTATTTTGGGTACTTTGCTGTCTTTTAAGCCATAAGTGACTATTTAAGACCACTTAATTTCAGAGGCCTGTTTCACATTTTGGGCTTCTGGTGCCTTGCCAATGTCAGAGAAAAGGATGAAGTCACAGGCTTGATGCCTATAGAAATGACAGCTTGCTTGCATGTGATGTCATAATTTTCACATATTGATCCTGTTTGCTCATGACAAAGGTATGGGTTCCATGTCTAGGAGATATGACCACTGGAGGAATGGTGGCAACAGCTAGCTCTGGCTAAGTTATGTGGCCAATTTCCCTTTATAACAAGCAGCAGAAGATAGTCTCTCCCAGACAAGAATTCAGAAAAAGAGGAGTCTAACTACATTACTTGAATTGTCCTGTAGAGTTACAAGTTAACCTCAGAAGAACTTTTAGTCAAGTTAGATGTCTCCCGTAGGAAAATATATGGCTACTGCTTTTGGAATTAACTCTCTTCAACAGAGCCTGTTATTTTCAGAAAGGGAAAGGAAATCAAAGAAAAAAGCATAATAGAAAACTTCAGCAGCCTTTAGCTAGGTCAAAAATTTGTGGGTACTTTTGGTCTGTGGAAGAGTTTCCTGTCCTTTGTAAGATATTCCCACTGAGCAAAAAAGCCTGCTCCATTCTCTTCCTTTCTCCATATGGGGTTTGTCTTTCAGCTCTTCAGCAAGGCATTCCACTCTCCCCCACTAACCCTAGTGCCTTCACACCCTGTGCCAAACAAGTGCAGTAACCATATACCCTGCCGCTAATATCTGTAATTAGTGTTGTATCTCAAAAGAGCTCTTGAAAGGATCAAAGGGAAGTCCTGCCATTGCCTTAAATGAGAGCAACATTACCCTTTAAGGTTAAAAGTGGATCTATGGCAACAGGCAACACCAAAGACTTCAAAGGAGCTGACTTCAAACGCAACTTTGAACTATTTTAATTGACAGTCACACAAGGTTGGATTTTTTTTGTTTTTGTTTCTTTTTCTATTGTAGCAAGAACCAAAGAGGGAATGTTATCTTTCCCGTAATCTTTAGCAAAGTGAAATTTCAGAGTTCTTTGGCACAATCCAGTTCCCAAACGTTCGATGCCATTTGAGGTGCTCTTGGGACATACCTGGCTCCAGCTGCCCATTCAAAAGGGCATGGGTCTCCTAGAGGTCTTGTCTCATATCTGCCATCCACTTGCTAACATCTCAGATTCTTTGGACATCTCAAATGACACCTGATGCCTATGTTAGGGAAGCTGAACTAAGCTAGCTGTATATGTTAATAGATACAAATCTCAATTAACATCTTGCCTAACTCCACACAAAATAATTTGAGTTTGGATTTGAGCTTTTGCAAAAAAGCCATCTTCAAAATCCATACCCTGTTTTTTTCTTAATGCTTTTGGCAGCTGATTTTTTATAATGTGTAATTCTAAATATCTTCATCAACATCTATTTAGCTTTTCTGCTTTACCAAAGTTTTGATTGGCTCACTCTAGTACATTTAATTAATGTCCTTGTCAAACATTAACCTGGAATATCTTCACAGGGACACAGGTAATAGCTTTAGCCAACAAACATTTATCATATTTGAAATTAGGCTGAAGGGATGGTTAATGTGGTTAACTTGAAATATGTGTGCAAACCATAATTTAATTTCTGGAAAAATGAAATAGAAGCCAAGAGTCATACACTAATTATCTTCTGTTTAATTAATTGTAATACACTGTAAATATAGTTGTCTGTAACTTGCTACTGAGGAATGAAAAAAAGAATCTTATGATTAAAATTGCTGGCCTCCATGACATGAGGCAGCACATTCACTCTTTTTTCTGAAGTGCTTATCATCTTGGTTCAGACTTTTTCTACAGATGTGGCATGTCTGTTCTCTTACAGGACCAAATGCCTTTAAGACTTGGAAAGCTGCTGGGGAAATGACAAGATTGTTTTAGCTCAGCTTTATTGACTACAGCATAAGGAAGGAAACTGTTGCCCGTAAACAAAGACACAAACCAACAGAGTGTCGGTTT